ACATTGTAGTTAAATGGCCAAATAATGATCTACCTGCACGTTTAAGGTGTTCATTAGTTAGGCAGTCTGGACCTGGGGATTTTCCCATTTTCAAGGACTTGACAGTACACCAAACCTCTTGGGAGGTAAAAGGATCGGATAGCGGTGAATTAAGCTTTTCCACATCAGGATTTTTATAGATCTTTTCGATTAATTCTACTCTTTCCGTTACATGAGAAGCAAAAGATTCATCAAAACAATCAGATATTACAGGTGTAGCTAAATCAGCAAAATACATGCCAAACGCTGAGCATATGTCCTCTGGCGTCGTTGAAGAAATCCCATTAACAGTTAATTTTGACATTTGTCCATTCTGTCTCGATAAGCGTTTAGTCACTTTCACATATTCGTTAATGTCCACTTCAGCAGCTTTCGATATTTCGCAGAGTTTATCGTCAAGACTGCGTTGTTTTGATCTGCGATGGCGTTTTCGAAATTCACGTTTAGCGTCTTTGTACTTTCTATAGTGTTCATCGTCTATATTATGAGATTTTCCCGAGTCACGCCAGAGTCCGCGACATCGTCTCATTTCATTATGGAGAGGTTTCAAACAATCTCTTTTCCAATATGGTTTCAGGTACGAGCGATATCTGGAGCATGGTATACTGTTGTTTGATGAATCTTTGAGTGCCTGTACGATAAAGTCGTTGTAGGAGTTGATATATTCTGCAGGAGTTGAGTAGCATGACACATCAACGCACGTCTCTCGGAGATGGTTCTCAGTCTCATACCGGTAGAGCATCAAGTCAACTTCACTTGCTTTTTTCCAGTCAATCTTGTCACCACCATAGTGTTTACTGGAACCGGCGACATTTAGATACACAATTATAGGCAAGTGATCAGACACACTGTAGGGCACACTAGTGTCAATCATATGTCCAGTTACACAAGGGAGGTATTCTTTATGTACAAAAACATAGTCAATGAGAGTTCTCGAAGAATTATTCTTTGTTGAAAATGTATATTGAGACTGATCATCCAGAGGAACAATAGAAATAAGATTTCTTTCAGTGAGTGCTCTCTGCAAATATGACGCACGTTTTCTTGTGGGTTGAAGATGTTTGCGCAGATCTACATTAAAATCCCCCAGGAGAATAGTGTCACCTTCGTGTGAATATTGATCATACATCGCCATGATAAAGTCAAGAGCGTCTATATATACACTATCCAAAACATTGGAAGATGGCAGATGTGTTCCAATGACATAGATCAGTTCTTCATTCGTTTTAAGTTTTATACCTAACATACGGTCCTGGCTATTGGTATCCAGAAGTGTGACCTTGCACTGTTTTGATTTTCTGACGAATATCGCCACTCCCCCAAAGCCTCTGTGACCCTGGGGATAACCCACAGAACATTTAGTAAATACTGCAAATTGGTCGTTAATGTGATACAGGGTGTCTTCATTCTGTCTATCAAGCCATGTTTCACACACAAACATTAGATCACAGTGGTCTAATCTGGAAGACAGTTCATGCTCGCTTTTAACGATGCCTCGTATATTCCATGTTGCAAGTCTGCTTATGAGCATTATTAGAAGTAATGGTAGCATCACTTGAAGTTTAATACATTTCCCCATAATTATTTATTGCTATGGAATGTGCGTGAACTATCCTCGTCCTGACAAATTTACATATACTTGTATACTTGACAAATCTACATATACTTGACAAATCTACATATACTTGACAAATCTACATATACTTGTATACTTGACAAATCTACATATACTTGACAAATCTACATATACTTGTATACTTGACAAATCTACATATACTTGTATACTTGACAAATCTACATATACTTGACAAATCTACATATACTTGACAAATCTACATGTACTTGTATACTTGACAAATCTACATATACTTGACAAATCTACATATACTTGACAAATCTACATATACTTGACAAATCTACATATACTTGTGTACTTGACAAATCTACATATACTTGTGTACTTGACAAATCTACATATACTTGTGTACTTGACAAATCTACATATACTTGTGTACTTGACAAATCTACATATACTTGTGTACTTGACAAATCTACATATACTTGTGTACTTGACAAATCTACATATACTTGTATACTTGACAAATCTACATATACTTGTGTACTTGACAAATCTACATTTACTTGTATACTTGACAAATCTACATATACTTGTATACTTGGCAAATCTAAATATACTTGTATACTTGACAAATCTACATATACATATATGTAAATCTATATATACATATATCCTTGTTCCTGTGGATGACCAAAGTGGTAAATGTCCACGCCTTCTCCACGGGGGCTCTCCCCATCTAAATATTGATACGCCATGTTTAACTGAAATGCTGTTCAAACCAGTCTTTAACTCCTACCCACTTCCAGTGTCAAAGAAGGAACAGATGACAAACGGTTCAAAGAAGGAGAAGTATCAAATGAGCTCTTTAACAACACCTTAACTCTACACCTGTGTCTGGTGTTCCATGAACCAACACAGAACAACCAGACCGTCAATTAGTGCCATGTGATCTTCGAGTAGCTTTGCAGCAAAGCAGTCTCTGTATCCGAATCTTCAAGAGGTTTTTGAAATTTTGGCTACAGATGGCGTAAATTATGGGGTTCAAAGCACTGTTTAGGAAGTGTGATGGCAAATACTGAACCCCACAGCCTCACTAGCTTCCTCAATGGGCCTTTATACATTGCCGTTTACGTCCGCGATACTCCAGGTTCCTGTTATAGGAGGAAAGGGACGACTTGAAACTGTCTCCCTCTGACGTAAGTGTCTGGCCCCAACACAGACTGTTGATTTCCTTTTAACATCAGTTTCACATTAACAAGGCAAAATAATGACAGATGGTCATTTATGGAGTGGATGCCGATGCTTGACGTTTGTTATTCTCTTCAAAATGTGTCGTTATAAGCTGTAAATTTCTTAAATAACTCGTCAATCGAGATTGTTCGTTACGCAAAGCGCCATGTTTGTTCCCTGAACAGCGTGTATTCCTTGGCTTCAAACAGTTGATTCTGTATTTAATCATATCCAAATGTATGATAATGTATTTTAGTGACCTCAAATATTTTTATTGCTTTTGTTCATATTTTTTTAAGATTTGGCAAACTCGGAACTATTTCGTAAGTCACAATTACAAGGGGTGGTGAAACGTCCCTGCGTGTTTCAAGGTTTTATATTTGTAATGAATATTTTAATATTCAAGTAGACAACTACACAAAAAGTAAATCATAAATAGGATTTTCCATGTGTCTTGTGTCATGTTTTCCTCATCGAGCGACTAGGAAAGGAGACATTTTCAATACCAGTATCTGACCGTGACTTGTGAAGAGTGCTTATTTTTCTTTTGATTAATATTGTTTGGTCGCTGCTTCAAAATATACAAATTTCTTCCCTGAAGGGGAAAGTGGGTGAACAGGAAACGGGGACGATTGTGGTGCTGACAAACCTAGAAACATAATCAGGGCGTACAGGGATTCGAACCCGCAAACATAGGTTTCTGGCAAGCCCAAGGAAAGCAACTATGCACAACGAATTGCTCCCTTAGAGGAGCTGGCCATCTCAGTCGCATATTACATATTCAACGAGCACGTATGTGGGAGAGTAGGGCAAGACAGGCGTTGCTCAAAGTGGTATGCAGACAGTCGCGTATGACACATTCAACGACGACGTATGTGGGAGAGTAGGGCAAGACAGGCGTTGCTCAAAGTGGTATGCACACAGTCGCGTATGACACATTCAACGACGACGTATGTGGGAGAGTAGGGCAAGACACGCGTTGCTCAAAGTGGTATGCAGACAGTCGCGTATGACACATTCAACGACGACGTATGTGGGAGAGTAGGGCAAGACACGCGTTGCTCAAAGTGGTATGCAGACAGTCGCGTATGACACATTCAACGACGACGTATTTGGGAGAGTCGGACAAGACAGGCGTTGCTCAAAGTGGTATTCAGACAGTCGCGTATGACATATTCATCGACGACGTATGTGGGAGAGTCGGACAAGACACGCGTTGCTCAAAGTGGTATGCACACAGTCGCGTATAACACATTCAACGACGACGTATGTGGGAGAGTAGGGCAAAACACGTGTTGCTCAAAGTGGTATGCAGACAGTCGCGTATGACACATTCAACGACGACGTATGTGGGAGAGTCGGGCAAGACAGGCGTTGCTCAAAGTGGTATGCAGACAGTCGCGTATAACACATTCAACGACGACGTATGTGGGAGAGTCGGGCAAGACAGGCGTTGCTCAAAGTGGTATGCAGACAGTCGCGTATGACACATTCAACGACGACATATGGGGGAGAGTAGGGCAAGACACGCGTTGCTCAAAGTGGTGTGCAGACAGTCGCGTATAACATATTCAACGACGACGTATGTGGGACATCTTCCCGAGGCAAGGGAGTTAACTGACTATAAAAGTCCAGTTTCCACCCTTAGTCTTAGCCCCAATCTTAGCCCCAGTCTCAGTTCCAGACATAGTCTTAGCCGCAGTCTTAGCCCCAGTCTCAGTTCCAGACGTAGTCTTAGCCGCAATCTTAGCCCCAGTCCCAGTTCCAGACACAGTCTTAGCCCCAGTCTTAGCCCCAGTCTCAGTTCCAGACGTAGTCTTAGCCTCAATCTTAGCCCCAGTCTCAGTTCCAGACACAGTCTTAGCCCCAATCTTAGCCCCAGTCAGTTCCAGACACAGTCTTAGCCCCAGTCTTAGCCCCAGTCTCAGTTCCAGACACAGTCTTAGCCCCAGTCTTAGCCCCAGTCTCAGTTCCAGACACAGTCTTAGCCCCAATCTTAGCCCCAGTCTCAGTTCCAGACACAGTCTTAGCCCCAGTCTCAGTTCCAGACGTAATCTTAGCCCCAATCTTAGCCCCAGTCTCAGTTCCAGACACAGTCTTAGCCCCAATCTTAGCCCCAGTCTCAGTTCCAGACACAGTCTTAGCCCCAATCTTAGCCCCAGTCAGTTCCAGACACAGTCTTAGCCCCAGTCTTAGCCCCAGTCTCAGTTCCAGACACAGTCTTAGCCCCAGTCTTAGCCCAAGTCTCAGTTCCAGACACAGTCTTAGCCCCAATCTTAGCCCCAGTCTCAGTTCCAGACACAGTCTTAGCCCCAGTCTTAGCCCCAGTCTCAGTTCCAGACACAGTCTTAGCCCAAATCTTAGCCCCAGTCTCAGTTCCAGACACAGTCTTAGCCCCAATCTTAGCCCCAGTCTCAGTTCCAGACGTAGTCTTAGCCCCAATCTTAGCCCAAGTCTCAGTTCCAGACACAGTCTTAGCCCCAGTCTTAGCCCCAGTCTCAGTTCCAGACACAGTCTTAGCCCCAGTCTTAGCCCCAGTCTCAGTTCCAGACACAGTCTTAGCCCCAGTCTTAGCCCCAGTCTCAGTTCCAGACGCAGTCTTAGCCCCAGTCTTAGCCCCAGTCTCAGTTCCAGACGTAGTCTTAGCCCCAATCTTAGCCCCAGTCTTAGCCCCAGTCTCAGTTCCAGACACAGTCTTAGCCCCAGTCTTAGCCCCAGTCTCAGTTCCAGACACAGTCTTAGCCCCAGTCTTAGCCCCAGTCTCAGTTCCAGACACAGTCTTAGCCCCAGTCTTAGCCCCAGTCTCAGTTCCAGACACAGTCTTAGCCCCAGTCTTAGCCCCAGTCTCAGTTCCAGACGTAGTCTTAGCCCCAGTCTTAGCCCTAGTCTCAGTTCCAGACACAGTCTTAGCCCCAGTCTTAGCCCCAGTCTCAGTTCCAGACGTAGTCTTAGCCCCAGTCTTAGCCCTAGTCTCTAGGAACGTTTGGAACCCGGTCGAGGTGCGCCGATGTAATCACTCCCCTTTTCATTTAACCAATGCATAAAAAGTCAAAAATTCTCGACAATCCGACATACTGATGATGTCAAGTACGCGTCAAAACAAGGTGGCACTTTTGGTCTCCCCCGCCGTGATATTGCTGGAAAAGCCAGTCCATTCTCCCTCCTCTGTATCATTGTTTGTTTGTTTGTTGTTTAACGCCGAACTCAGTAATATTCCAGCTAAATAAGGGTGGTCTGTAAAAAGACTTGAACAGACAAGCCAGGGATGGACGTAATGAGCATCGATCCACGCCACACACAGCAATTTTCCAGATATTTGACGGCGGTCTGTAAATAATCGGATCTGGACAATCCAGTGACTGACATCATGAGCATCAATCTACGAAAGTGGAATACGATGACATGCATCAACCAAGTCAGCGAGCCCGACCACCCGATCCCGTTAGTCGCCTCTTACGACAATCATGGGTTGCTGTAGACCAAATCTAGCCCCGATTGTAGCCACGTATGGTGATCAGAAGCAGTCAACAGTGTGAACTTTATTACAAATATACAGGAGATGAAATAAAACGCACATACATCGTCTAAGGCGCGCAATTAGCTGTGCAGAGTTGCGTCCCTTGGGCACGCCAGAAACCTATGATTGTGGGTTCGAATCTCGAGATGTGAGATGGCGGTAATTTACAATTGAAATTTGAAGTTGCGATGCCCCATGACACTACAGGAAGTCAGATGATGTGGTTGTCTGTGTTGGTGATAAATCACTCACGATACCAGTGGGCGAGTCCATCCGTAGATTATGAAAAACATCCTGGTTCATGGAAACGAACGATGATTCATTTCCCGCCCAGTCGTCTAAGGCGTAGCGATTCTAACCCGGATTGTATCCATGTATGGTGATCAGAAGCAGTCAACCGTGTGAACTTTATTACAAATATACAGGAGATGAAATAAAACGCACATACATTCTAATATACTACTACAAAATGTCACACAGCTTCAGACATAAATACTTAAAGAAAGGTATATGTCGACAGTGAAAGGGTCTTGTATTTGGAGTTATCAATTACCCTCTCGACTGAAAGTATTTTCTCTACGAGGACGGAAAATGTTGAGACACAATCTATCGTTTCATTTCACAGCTGTTCACAAAAACCGGATAACGTCACGGATACAGGATGGTCTCGCGATGAAGGCAGTGTCAGATGTAACAACTAAATGTGTTTCCACCATATCGGAGTGGGTGGATGAGTTGTTTTCCGCCGCTTAGAACAGCATCCTGCTATATCGCGGTGTGTCCGGCTAGAGCGTGAGAAGGGCCATAAGTTATGCATTGTTTGATAGTTTGGTATTTCGTAGACGTTGACGGATAACAACATATACGTTATATCGTTCTCAAGCAAAGTAGACACAATTTATGGATAACAGTTGAATTAATTGAGGTTTCGGTGTACCTAAAACTTCGATTTTACATTAAAATAAAATAGTTGGTATACATAAATTGTGTCTACTTTGCATGCCAGCGGTAAAAGGACCAATACCGAAACGTCCCTCTTTAATACAGTAAATTAAAAAGTTGTTATCCATAAATTGTGTCTACTTTGTCAGGTCACAGACGTGCAACAGTAAACCCAACGAGCACGAGCACAGTGTTGACAAACCTAGAAACGGGGCGAACCGGGATTCGAACCCACCATCATACGTTTCCGGGATGCCCAAGGGACGCAACTCTGCACAGCGAATCGCGGCGCCTCAGACGAATGGACCAGTCCTAACTTCCAGCCATATGAGAACGATATTTATATCCTTATCGTTATTAATTCATGTTCAATCATTGTCGTGGATATTTGTAATGCTGGGTAGCTATTTCACACATGTCTTGGTCTGTGTACAACACTTAGAGGATCGTGTATACGTTGTTTCTGTGCTATTGAAACAAGTAATCCAGCCTCAACGGTGTTGACACTGCTTTGATGCATTGATCTCACCACTGGTTCGTGATATGCTCAGTAGGGGTATGGGTGGCCCAGTCGTCTAAGGCGCCGCAATTCGCTGTGCAGAGTTGCGTCCCTTGGGCACGCCAGAAACCTATGGTTCGAATCCCGGTTCGCCCCGATTAGGATTCTAGGATTGTCAGCACCATTCCCGTGCTCGTGGGTTTCACCGAAGTGGTAAACGTCTAAGACCTGCATCACTTCCGGATTTCCCCCCACATTTAGCTGACACGCCGTGAAATAACTGGAATACTGTTAAAAGCGGCGTTAAACACAACTCACTCGCTCACTCACTGATATGCTGAATATGACAAATCTAATGGTTCCATAGAATATCATCAAAACATATCTTCCCGGAAGAAAGGTAATCCCTTCTACTTATGTTGTAGGCGAGTTATGTGGTCACAAACATGTGTACATTCTGTGAAGACTTACTGTTGATTATTGTTAAGCTTTTCATACAACTGCACAGTACGCCTGGCAAAACCCCTTGTCGGGAAAAGAAATTGTGTCCGTTTTGATACACTTTCAGTTGAAGGTGTTGGTATGCATGTATTCTTGAGTCTTATGCACCCTATAGTATAGGCAGATACATATATACCCTCGTTTTGGAACGTTGGAGCGTTTGAAGATCAAGAAGGAATTATTTACTAAATCGTTGTCCACATAATTTGTGTTTTCTATTTTTGTTGTGTATGCTTTGAAGGACCACTGCTACACCTCCCTATTTCACGCACATTACTCTTACATCACAGTTATGTTTTCTAAATATTTTATAGGGACGGTCGGGTAGCTTTGTGATTAAAGCGTTCGCTCGTCACGCCGAAGACCCGGCTTCGATTCCCGATATGGGTACAATGTGTGAAGCCCATTTCTGGTGTCCCCCGCCGTGATATTACTTGAATATTGCTAAAAGCGACGTAAAACCGTATCCACTCACTCACTCACTAAACATATCATACTTTTGAAACAGTCTCTATCACAGTTCTTATCAAAGTCATGTCTATGTTCACAGTTCACCGTGTGAAACATCTTTTGAGAATATCACTGCATAGTTCCACTCAATCCTCTTCGTCTTCATCATCTGACGAGTCTGGTTTCTCCCCAAACATATCCTCCCCTTCCACTTCATCAATCTGAGGCTGGTGGTCCCGCGACATGAGTTTCAGGATTATGACATCACTTTTCTCATAAAGACCAAAGGCAATCAGCTCTCCACCCAGAGCCACATTGCAACACATGATACGGGTATCTGGTGTGAAGACTGCCATGACCGTGGCCTTCTCGATATCCCACACTGAGATGTCTCCTGCAAACACGATAGCCCTCTTCCCATCCCCGCAGGTGAAGATCTTGCTTCCAACACCAAATCTCAAACCAGAGTAGCCTTTTATTTTACGGAGGGAATTAGACTTCATAGGATCCCAAACATGGAGCTCATCTGGGCCTTTACCTATCACCACTCTTTCAGCATCGTCTGTGATACCAAGTGCACATACGTTAGTCTCACGTTTCAGTCTCCGCTTCACCTGTCCGCTTGCACAGTCCCATAGAGTCACATAACTGATCTTGTTCTCCTCATCGTAATTTGCATGGACAAGATGACTGCCGTCAAAAGTCAACGACGAAACATGAAGAAACATCATCGAGTTCTCATTCTCAAGAGTCTGTGTGTGCGCCTGTTTCGGAATATCAAAGACACACAAGTGGTGAGCAAAGAATGAAGCAACGATGATCTTCTCGTCTCCACTTACAATGAACTGTTCGATGGCATTTTCTTTCTCCTTCTTCAGATCATCTTGTCTCTGGCGTTCTTCCTCCAACTCAGCATCATGACGTCTCTGTTTTGCCGAGTCGGTCTCTGCACGCCTGTCCCATGGACTCATCTTGGCCGTTGTTCCTCTTTTCACTTTTGTGACATCTACCATTGGGATTCCATCCATCAACTTTAACCTTTCTAGCTCTCTAAAGTTGGTTTTGATCCTGTACAGGACATGACCCGTCTTTAGGCTCCAGACCATAAAGTGAGTTCTGCTGTCTGATGGACCCATAAGATGATTTTCATCCAGCAGCATGTATTCATGCGTGGGGGCAGGGACAATGTAGCAACCGGTTAGCTTCTTGTCGTAGCGTTTTGTTTTGAGATTGTACCTCAGCACTGTTTGGAAGACTGGTTTAGCATCATCACTGACATTAGAAAAACCCCTGTCTGTGAGAATAACCAAGAAAGAGTTTCTCACAATCACAACATCCGATGTTTCTGAAAGGCCTCTCTCTATCCTAACAGCCGTTTGCAGACACTTCGCCTTGGCAATATTCCAGACACTGATGGGCCCATTGTTGATAGTCCTAGCGACGACATATCTAGGGTTGTCCTGCATTGGAACAATCTCTGCCACACCTAGACTCTTCTTCAGCTTTGGAGCAGGCTGATTAATCTTGCTGGTTAGGTTCCAGATTCTCAGTGTTTTATCACCCTTTGCTGCTGTAAGGCAAAACCTGAAGTCCAAACATGCTCCAAATGCAGACACACCAGCATGTCGTGCCAGATGTTTGTGGTCCTCAGTCTCCAGATTCCAAAGGGCAATGTCAGACATGTTGTTGTTCTCAGAGGCACAGATGGCAATAGCATGGCTGCCCATCATATTGATGTACATATCTCTGACATTGTCATGAACGCATCCACGAACACTGCGCAGGTAGTTGCCTTTCTTCAAATCAAAAATCTCAAGTTGGTGAATCTCATGAAGCTCCATATACTGTTGCCTACATGCCAATATGTAATAGTCCCTGGCAAAACCAAGTGAAACCACGGAAGACGATTTCTCAAAGCATTTCAAGTTGTGGTAAATCTTGCCTGTCTTTGCATTTTGTACAGTGGCTCTGTTGGATGATCTGAACGCATGTAGCACTTGATCCCCAACACATGTCTCAGCTACAACCAGAGATCTGTCTTTGTGAATCCCATCGTCAGGGATTTGCTTTTCACATATCTGTGTGAACGATTGTAGGTCAAAGGATCTGAACATGTTAGACCCATCGAAGAGAGCAACAAGTACACGCCCATCACTTGCCACAGTGATGTTTGCAGGGTCCACAAATTCATCGAGGACATGGACACAGATTCCAGAATTAAGACTCCAGATTTTGATTACCGTCCCTTCTGTTGTAATGGCAAGGGCATTGTTCATTCCTGTCTTAATTGTTGATACATTTGGACTCATTCCTTCTAATGTTTTAGCAACTCTCCCAGTACGAATGTCCCATAGCTTCATCGTGCAGTCCTCAGAGGTTGTCAAAGCTCGCATACCATCTGATGTTAAAGCTAATGCAGTGATAGGATCAGTATGGCCTGACAGAAGATCGAACAGGATGCCACCAGGCTCCGTTAAGCAATCAACGGATGGAATGAGACTCGGCAGAGTGGAAGACTGAGCTTGAGCAACAAATGTATGAAGGTATGGATATCGCTTACGATCTGCTGCTGTTTTTGGCAAATCTCGAGCAATGATGCCGTTTAAACGACCAATCATCTGTGAGGCCAACTGACGTGGTTCTTTCTGCAGAGCAACACCCGAAAGGTGCAATGTGTCTGAGAGAATCTTAAGTTCAGTATCATTTGGTTCTTGAAGCAAAACACTGGAGTATTCTTCGAGCACGGCACGGAGAGAGGTTCCACATAGTTTTGCTAACACCCATTCAAAATTGCACAAGGTTTCATTTTTGAGCAATTCCATCTGTTGAGATCTGACAAGGTGGTGTGGGAGTTCATTTATTTTCCGCAGGTTGTACACTCTATCGGACCCATCATGTAATGATTCCTCTGGTTCATAAAACAAAGGCTGATCTGATACAAATCTGAGCACTCCTCGATCACTACCAGAATAAGGTTTGGGTTTACCGACCCATATTCCCATGAAGTACTCAGCAAATGCTTTGTGGTAGGATGGTGCTTTGTCCTTTTGTTGTAGGTACCTGTCATCGGCTGCATCAGCGAACTGGACATGGGACCAACATAGTGTTTTCATGTTGTCTCCTAGGCACTCCATTACATATTCTGACAAGTCCATCTTTAATCTCGCCCAAACCAGAGGAGGCAATCTTCTTCTTGACAAATTGAACTGTCCAGCAACCTCGTCCATGACTGCATCATCCAAAGACAGAACATCCTCCATCTCGTTACCGGTAATTCCATTTCTGGCAGCCGTGATGTAGCCCAGAGCCCTTTTCACCAAAGCCTCTCCGTGGTCTCTCTCAAGTCTCCCAAACTTGATTGTTGCAATCTTCTTTACAGTTTCCGGTATTTTAACCATCTCGGAAATCATATATGAAGTCCATGTCTGTGATTCTCTGTAAGCCATTTTAAGAAATAGTGGTGTTGGGGCTTTAGCAAAGGCATCCAAGACGACATCCATCTGATGCTGTGTGAGATTCCTGTTGCCTTCATTCAGCCAGTATTCCAGGATGGCGATGGCATCGCCTGTCGGTAGATCACCGATTTCAAGCAAACAGTCCTCTTTGCCATTCAGAGATTTCTTGAGAGACTGGAAACATTCGAACTTGTCATCGGGAAGAGTTGAGATGATCACATGGACGTTACTAGGCAACTCCTTCGGCAGCCAGGACATCTTCCTCCCATCATGCTCATCTAAAGGGTAAATGAGGACTTTAAGTACAAGATGATATATAGCAATATTATGGTGAACATTTTGGCATCATTGCCGGGAACATTGCCAAGCCATATTAACTCAAGGTGCAGAAAAAAACTAAATAGATTGTAGTTTATAGTCAATAAATGCCAAACAATATGTTCAGCTTGACTAGTAAAACACTTGGGAGAGTATATTCGTCTTCTTTACATTGATTTGTTATAGTTGAGAAACAATTACTCCACCTAAAAGTCTGTCCACAGCATCTAGGAAGATTACAAGCGGTTTCTCTGTTGTGATTTGGCTGATTTTGTAAGCAAAGTCGTTCACAAGACCCTTGTACTCCTGAAACAGACCACAATTGATCAATAGATGTTATGCCTGTCCAAAGTCCAATAGTGAAACTATGTGACAGACGTGCATATAGTAGCATAATTATAGTAGTGCATATTAAGAAGGGACGTCATAGTCAATTCTATTATCTTCGAATCTTTGAAGTAGGAACTCCCATCCAACCTCATCATGAAGGTGGCTACCTTTGAGACACATGACATCTGAACAAGCTGTATCAGTACCCCTTGTTCCCAAGCCGACATAGATGTGTTAGTATGTGGTCTCAATGGCTTTCAATCATTGGTTGAGATCTGCCTAATTTCTAGGCTGTTGACAGTCGATGGCTGCGTTTCACAGATATATTTCTTTCTATATGTATGAATCGAAATGAACTTATTTCTCTACCGTTGGCACATCCTTATAGTTGGCCCCTGTGATGTGACACAGCTGTAGACAGATGTCTCTGAGTAGCGTTCGGACATTGGTTGACCTTCGTGTTGCTCCCACCGATCTCACCAATACCCGGGTGTCGAACCTTTAACAAAATATATACGATCAAAATTTCTATTTACCCAGCTAATCACATTACATACTGTAGCTAGCGTTACATTGTATTCCATCTCTTGAAATAAATATTTCATTAAGAAAGTACAATTACAACACGATACTACATCACCACAGAGAGGCCTAGACGCTCCTGAAGATATGTTTATCCATACAACTGTATTTATTTCTAAACAGGGGACATGGGTGGCCCGGTTGTCTTAGGTTCCACAATTCACTTTGTAGAGTTGCGTCCCTTGTCCAAACCAGGAACCTATGACTTTGGGTTCGAAAGCCACCTTGCCCAAATTGTTTCTAGGTTTGTCAGCACCATACCGTGCTCGTGCGTTTCATCAAAGTTAACCAAATCAGCGTTAACTCAACTCTAACTCACAAAAGCAACCTTATCCTGATGTTATTTTAAATAAAGACTCTTACTCCTTCATCCACTTATGAACATCTTTGGCTGCTTTGGCCAAAATAGCTGACTTGCCAGATCCGGTTTTCCCGAAAATCACCAGGGGCGTATTGGTTTCTGACCGTACGTAGGATTTTATCAACTGGAGTATGTCTTTCCGGCCATGGAATTTTCGAACTCTGCAACATCACAATAATAGATGAGAATGAAAATGAGCTCATAATACTACACAATGACATTCTTCGTTCTCCGGGGGCAGCTGCAAGATAAAATCTCTGTTGATGTGGCGTAAAAAGATAATCACTAACTCTATCACCGTGGAACCTAAATAGAAAGCATCATCGAGTGTGCTCTTTCTAATAAGAGCGTTATACGATTCTTGCTCAAACGTTGATTGAGCAAGGGTACAACATTCCAGAGCTCAATAAAACATTGAATATGGAGGACATATGGGGACATTTCCACATTTGACACATCCGTGACCAAAATGAGGTCTGATATAAATCCCTATTTTGCCTTGTACCACATGTTCCCGTGGCTTTCCGGGTGAACAAATAACGTTCCATGTGTTTGTGACCGGCCCCAAGGGTGTCATCACTATCTGACAGTGATCCATAAACACATGCACACTGGTATCATCATATTTCATTCCTAAACAAATCTTTAGTGTTTGTGACCGGCCCCAAGAGTGTCATCCCTATCTGACAGTGATCCATAAACACATGCACACTGGTATCATCATATTTCATTCCTAAACAAATCTTTAGTGTTTGTGACCGGCCCCAAGAGTGTCATCCCTATCTGACAGTGATCCATAAACACATGCACACTGGTATCATCATATTTGATTCCTAAACAAATCTTTAGTGTTTGTGACCGGCCCCAAGAGTGTCATCCCTATCTGACAGTGATCCATAAACACATGCACACTGGTATCATCATATTTCATTCCTAAACAAATCTTAAGTGTTTGTGACCGGCCCCAAGGGTGTCATCACTTTTTGACAGTGATCCATAAACACATGCACACTGGTATCATCATATTTCATTCCTAAACAAATCTTTAGGATATGGTCGGAATTATACAACGAACTCTGCTTTAAGCTGAGATTTCTGATGAGAATACAAATGGTTCTGTCGCATTTATTTAACTAAAAAATAGGTGATACTTTAGAGAATGGAATATATTGTGGTATACGACGGGTGTAAATGGCTTATAATCAAGACATCCAAAGTGTAATATCGGATGGATGTTTAGATTCCTTGCCTCTTGTGACAGGTCATCACGTGCTGAGAGACTTCTTCAAACAGGTTCCTCAGAGCCTGGTCCGAATGGTCCTCTTCTTCAAATAAGGTGGTCAGTTGGCGCTTCACCATGTCATAAGTCACCTTACAAACGCGCTCCAGATAATTCAAATGGTCTCTGTTATGGGTGGTGGCAATTCCTCCTGCTATCCAGTTCAACTCGAAAGAATAAATGCTGCCTTCGTTCACCTGTGCCCAAAAGAATTGATCATTCATTTATTAGGATTTCAAAGCTATTTTCCATTTCTGGTTGAATGATTGTATCATCTTAGGAAAGTAAAAATATCCAGCATTGTCTTTGTTTGTTTGTTTGTTTGTTTGTTTGTTGTTTAACGCCGCACTATGACGGCAGTTTGTAAATAATCGCAACGGACCAGGCAATCAAGTGATCAATATTATGATCATCAATCCACGCAATTGGAATACGTTGACCCGGATGTTCATGAATCTCCAGCATTGTTAGAGGTGGCGGGTGTAATACAGGATTGATCACAGGATGCTATCATTTACGTACGACTAAAGAAACAGCCAAACATTTGTTAATCGAACGATTTCAATAGGAACATCACTGTCCACAAACGAGATTTTACTCTATTGGCTTCGTATAACCTGTCCGTATCTATATTCACCCTTAACATTTAGACGTCATTAAATTTTAATCCCAGATTCGCCTTGATACTGTTTCCAGTTTGTCAGCACCATACCGCACTCATGGGTTTCGCCTATACGGTAAACGCCTCCAATCTGCATTACCTCGGCTTTCCTCCCACATTAAGCGGACACGTCACGAAGTGAAACCCTGTCCAAAGCTGCCTTAAACCATCACACCTCACTCACATGACGTTCTGCCCTGAACCTACCCTCTTGCCCACAAAATCCTCTCTAATGTCCAGCATCTTGCTTCTGGCTTTGGTGTCGATGGCGTCATTGTTCTTGGGGCTGACATCGATGTATTCCCCCACTTTAATGTCGGTGAGGTGGTTCTGGAGCCCCAGAAGTGTCCGCTTGTAGCACACGGTGTGTAAGGGGGAGTTGTCAAAGTCGGCGAGAATATGTTCCAGCTCTTGTTCCAGCACTGAATCAAACAAAGTGTGAATAGAGGTCGCTACACTTACACACAAACACTTACTTTTAGGTGTCCAATGCTACCGGCATGGAAGGACATGCTTACCATTTTTCGCGAACACCTGGTGTCATCCCTGATTTTCTGTGATCCATTCATATAACTTTGGCCACTACTTTGCCTTTACTGCCCGAGACTGATAATTCTCTGGCGTTAACGTGTTATTCCTATCATATATTGCGTAAGATTTTGAAGATTCAAGAAATCCATAGGTCCTTATTCTTTTCTGCGTCCAAATACCCCAAACCTATTTCATTATGCCCAATGATATGAACCGAGTAGGAGCTGGCAATATACTACCCTTGAAAGCTGTCAATAACGAATGATTTTTAGGCAGATTCAGTAAACTACTTTTATAACGAACACGCTTATAACGAACTGTTTTCTTGGTCCCGGACATTGGCTGTATATATGCTTATAACGAACCACGGTTATAACGAACTAAAATTTGTGGTCCCTTTGAGTTCGTTATAACCGTAGTTTACTGTAGTAAGTAATAGTGAATTAAAATTAGTTTCGTTTGATATAAAACACATTAGCTGAACTAGAACCTGCTTTATGGATCGGGTGGTCGGTGACTTGTGTGACTGCGAGTCATCGTAACGGACAGCATTGATCGTTGTTCATAATATCAATCACCGGGTGACAGGGTTATTAACAGGTGCCGGTCCTAAAGCTTTGGATATTACTGAATGTGGTGTTAAACAACAAACAAAGATTATACCAACATGAGGTAAAGTACTTCTCCCTGGCCTCCTCGCAGACCACGTCCTGTGAGAAGGTCTGCAGGACCTTGCTGAGCTTGTTGGCGGTCGTGATCCAGCTGTTCCTCGCGGCCTGGCGCCTTGTTCCGTCTGTCTTTGCGATGTCCTTGTACACAGAGCTACAACACGTCCACCGGGATTCGTATCAACAACTTGGCAGTGAGTGTGTTTGGCCTAAATCACGATGTGTTACCCTTGTGTGATAGGACAGCCCCCAGTTATATAGGTCCTGTACATTTACCAGTTTCGTGACACTGGTATGGTGCAAACGCAACGAGAAACAAAAGGAGGGCCTATCTGGGTTTCGAACCCACGATAATAGGATCCTGACACGCCTAAGGGAGGCAACTGTCTGCAGGTCTCGTGAAATGGCTCTGGTATCTCATTTCTGTACATGGTAATCATTTACCCATAAATGGCAATCATTATTTGATGTTATTAGTTTTGTATATTTGCGTTAAATATCTTGTTTGTGTAGCAGCCATAAAATTTCAGAGTCCCGTGATGGGATTCGAACCACGGACCTTCTGATCCGAGGTCGGACGCCTTGTCCACATGACCAAAGAGGTTAACCCTGTCAGCAAGCTGACACGATAAGGATGTCATCTGTGGGATGACTCCACGCCCTGCTACATTTGGTAACAGCAAGTGAGAGTAATACCTACGCCAACGTACGTCCCGAGTGGATTCTGATGAGGTAGAATAATCCTCGAGGACCCTGTGCTTATAACATTTAAGATACAGATCGCGTGGAGCCAATATATAGTGCAAGGATCGGTGATCACATACTTGGATCATTGCTGATACTGTGCGTGTCTTGTCCCAAAATTGTACTGTTGCTTGCATGGTAAACAACTTTTAACAGTTTAGATGTTTAACAGTATCTGTGTCAATACAGATCGGGATTTTCATGCGATAATTTTCTTTTCAGTTTTACATGTCACAACAAAGACACAAAATAATACAACGTGACCACTAGGAAAAGTGGGAAAAGTCAGCTAGAAGCGACGAATACACCAATACTCATGTCACCCACCTAATCCTCTGTAAGCGGTACACGGGTGGTTTTGCGTTTTCATCCAGCCGGTACCACTGTGTGAGGCTGTCAACATCTTGAAGCTCTTCCTCTTCCTCCCTAAGGGCCTTCATAAGCAGGCCCTCTGCTCGGATGACACTCGCTTTTCTCTCGAATATCAAATCCCCAAATACATCGTCCTCATCCTCATCCATTTTCTTCCCACTCTCGCGCCTGTCAGCAGTATCTCTGCTCAGTGTCGTGTCTGGGCTCTTGACAGATACCCCGCTTGAATTGGCCTCGGCCTCGATCTGACGCTGTTTCTCTCGTTCAACGCGCGCCGCTTCCACCTCCGCCATCTTGGCTCTGATAGCGATCACTTGACGGTCCGTGTACTCTGTGGCAGCTTCTAGAATCACCTGGAACTCATCCGCAGGAATCTCTGATGGCACGAGGCTCTGGCCATACTTCTCGCCCAGGAATATCTGTCATGGTAAACACGCTTAGGTAAGTCAGTAACTCGTGCCCAACATAGCAACACGTTTTTCATGTGATATGTTAACACTGTCATTCTGATTACATCACGACAGACCCGTGAAGATCCAGGTTAGAATAGGTCTTCAGCAACCCATGCTTGCCATAAAAGGCGACCATGCTTGTCGAAAGAGGCGACTAACGGGATCGGGGAGTCAGGCCTGCTGACTTGGTTGATGCATGTCATCGTATCCTAATTGCGTGGATCGACGCTCATGATGTAAATCACTGGTCCAGACTCGATTACTTATAGACCGCCGTCATATAGCTGCAATATTGCTGGGTGCGGCGTTAAACAACAAACAAACACTCAATATCACAACACTCTTATTTCAATGTTCTACAAATACATCTGAATTCAGTGGTAGCATAAACGAAAAGTACTATCGAAATATATTTCTCTACCAACCATCCCAATGCATGGATGAACTGTTACAAAAACGGCCTTAATATATGAGCTGCAGCTGGGTATATGTGGTGCACACTCAACTTTTTAAAAACGAAACTTTCGTTGACGAGTCGCTTTCGTTAACTGTGGCGGTAGGGTAGCCTCGTGTTTAAAGCGTTTGCCCGTTACGACGAAGACCCGGATTCGATTCCCCACAAAGATACAAAGCCCATAACTGGTGTTCCCTGCCGTGATATTGATGGAATATTGCTAAAAGCGGCGTAAAACCTTACTCACCAACTCACTCACTAACTAATCACTTACAATTTACTGCCTCTACAATCAACAAACATCATCACTCGGTCTTTCAACACCGTACCCGTGCTCTTGGTTTTCGTGGTAAACGTCTAACACCTGTATCGTTTCAGACTTGCAACTACATGAAGCTGACACGCCGCAATATAACTGAAATATTGTTAAAAGCGACGTTAAACCAAACTCACTCACTCACTCACTCACTCACTCACTCACACATCCGTACCAGGAAGTTTATTCCCATTGCATTGTCTTTGCAGTCTTCAATGTAGTGGGAACAGACTCTGGGGATCAGATGATCGTCTGCCGTGGCGTCTTTCAGGCCCCAATGTAGGTCAAGCACGTGAAGCTCGTGCGCGTGACGCTTGCAAAACTCTCTCAGGTCGGGCCATACCTGTTCCATCAGAACCGTCCGCTCAACCTCGCTGTCTGAAACACGTAAATCGATGTGTCTGATCATCAACTGAATGTCAGAATAAAGTTCACAAATTCAAATACCTATGCTCCAATAATTCTCATCGTCCCGAGGACACGCCAGAAACCTGAGATCGTGGTTCGAATCCTGGTTCGCCCCGATTATGTTTCTAGGTTTGTCAGCACCATACCCGTGCTCGTGGGTTCACCAAAAGTGGTAAACGTCCAAGACCTGCATCAGGTCGGACTTTCCATCACAACAAGCTGATATGCTGTTCTGATAAATATATATCAAAGGTCATTCCTTGACACTACCTCCTTGGTCTAGAGGTAGAGCGTCCGCCCGGATACCTGAAAGTCCGGGGTTCGATCCCCGACCGCGTCATATCAAAAGACGTTAACAGATGGTAACTTGTTGTTACCCTGTCTAGCGCTCGGCATTAAGGGGCTAAAACAAGGACTGGTCGGCTCGGAGTCAGTATAGGGTGTCTGAGTGGGGTATTCGTGTTAAACAGCGGCATGGTATCTCAGTGAGCTAGCACCATTAATCGGCATCAGTCTGGACTAGAACAAGCAGCCACACACACACACACACACACACACACACACACACACACACACACACACACACACACACACACACACACACACACACACACACACACACACACGTGTATGCACGTCGCTATATAAGCCCAATAATCTTGGGCGCGACGTTAAACCCAAATTCACCTCACCCCACCTAGACACTAACCAGCGAAGCCTGAGCAGAGGTAAAGCTTCATGATCTTATCGTCTGGAGGACAGTCTCGGTGTACATATCCTTGAAGAATCTGCGTGCGTCTCTCAACAGAACTCAGCCGAGCAGTGTCTCGAGTCTCTGGTCGGTGAACCACAGGAGTCTGGATAGGACTTGTAATCATCCGCCGGAAGCTGATATCACCTTCTTCTCCTGCGTCACTCCCGGTTTGTCGTCCAGTATCTTCCTCAGATGCCTGACCTTCTTCGTTGTCTGTCTGTCTTTCTGGTTCCTGTAAAGACACTTTCTTCATCTTGGAGGAAGAGGATGTGAGTGGACGGGCACCGTCATCGCTCTGGCCTATGTCCGGTAAGGGGGTTGTGGAGCTGAACTTCCTTGACCCATCACTCTGGCGACGGGACCTGCCATCAAGGTCACTGGGGTCCGCAGCTGACACGTTATCGTTTGACAGAGGGTCAAGCACTTTTTGCGGAGATGCATGTTTGTGTCCATTCATGTGAGGCCGACTTCTGCTGCCAGACTTCCTCAACTTCTCTCCAACCTCAGAGTAGCTGTTGAACAGGCCCTTCCGTGCTTCAGCCGACTATAAAGACAGATAACTTTTTAATGTTATGTCAAATGTTATATATAATTCCACTGATGCTATAACAATGTAATAACTTTCCGACTATTGCAAATCACTCATTCACTCACCCCCACCCCACTAACACCACCACCACCCATTCACTCACCGACTCGGGGTCACGGGTGGCCAGTCGTCTGAGACGCCGCAATTCGCTGTGCAGAGTTGCGTCCCTTGGGCACGCCAGAAACCTACGATTGTAGGTTCGAATCTCGGTTCGCCCCGATTAGGTTTTTAGGTTTGTCAGCACCATACCCGTGCTCGTGGGTTTCACCGAAGTGGTAAACGTCTGAGACCCGCATCACTTCAGGCTTTCCTCCCACATTACGCTGACACGCCATGATATAACTGGAATACTGTTAAAAGCGGCGTTAAACCCAACTCACTCACTCACTCACTCACTCTCTCACTCACTCACCCACTCAACCTGCACTTAAGTATTCCTCAAATTTGATTGTTCAGTGACAACATATGATATTAACAGTGAGAACAACAGAATAGGGTGAGGGAGGTCGAAAGTCGTCTAGGGCCCAAGCAGTTCGCTTTGCAGAGTTGCGTCTGCCAGACACCTATAATCCTGGGTTCGAATCCCGGTTTCTTTGCATCAGCATCATACCCGTGCTCGTGGCAGATAGCATATAACAGAAATACTGTTCAAAGTGGTGTTAATTCCAACTCACTCACTCACTCACTCACTCACTCACTGTATACAAGATGACTTCATACAATGTTCAAAGTACAAAATGCTACGTCACCTGAGCAATATATTTATTCTAATTACGTTTATACCTAGGTTCGACTTTTCAAACGTTTTTCTCCACCGCATATTTCCCTCAAAATGATTATATAGGGAGGAAAAGCTGATCCTATTGGGTCAGGATAATGACGGGTCTCGGGACTGAGGCCGCAATTCGCTGTGCAGAAACATAGTGGTTTTGAATCCCTGTTCGCCCCTATTAGGTTTCTAGATTTGCCAACACCATTACCGTGCTCGTGGGTTTCACCAAGTGGTACGACCTTTCATCCCACACCAGGCTGACGTGCCCTGGTATAAGTGGAATACTGTTCAAAGCGGCGTTAAACCCAATCCATCTCTAGAGGAGTAACCATGAGGTATTATGAGGGAGTGATGAGACTTTATAAAACATGGTGATAAAAAATACTTCCGTCTTGGGTTTTTAACAAAACGTCTTAAATGTCTTTTGTATTTGTGAGTGAGCATCATTATAACTAAGTATGTACCTGTTTCGTGCCGCCACTGCGACGTCTCGCGTCGTCGGGGGAGGCTTCCTCATCCGAGACTTCATCATCCAAAGTTTCACCCATGCGTCTCTCGATACGGCGGGTCAGCTTCCGCTAAAGAAAGAAACAAACAATTATATGTTTGATTGATTGTTTGTTGTTTAAAGCCGCACTCGGCAATATTCTAGCTGTATGACGGCGGTCTGTAAATAATCAAGTCTGGACCAGACAATCCAGTGATTGACATCATGAGGATAAACATTTGGGATAAGATGACATGCATCAATCAAGTCAGTGAGCCTGGTCACCCCATCCCGTTAGTCGCCTCTTACAGCAAGCATGGGTTGCCAAAGAACAGTTCAAATCCGGATCTTCACGGGACACAAACAGTGACTAAATGAAGCGACTATACGATTTTCCATATCCTATAGAAATCTCTGCATAACAGTCGATTGTCAGATTCCGACTATATCATGAGCATGTGTTCATGAATACTATCAAATAGTAATGATACCAGATGTTCGGGAAAAGGTAAGCGTATCCTGCCGAAACGGGTGACACCCGTCACAAACACATGCAAAGGCAAGTCAATTGTTAACATGAAAAAACACGGGAACATATGGTACAAGTCAAAATAGGAAACTGCATCGGACATCATTTTGTCACAGATGCGTCACATTTGGAAATGTCCTCAACATGTCTACCATAAAACGTTTTGAAAGCTTTACAGAGGCTTTAACTGCTGTAACCTTGATCAAACAACTTCAATCAAGTCGTATGATGCTCTTTGAAATCTTGAAAGCATGCTCGATTGTATCTCAAAAGTTGTGGAATGTCAAGGCCAAAGGCTGGAGCTGCTCAAATATTGCTCGACATGAAGTGACGAGGCTAAAAAAGTGGACATGATTCTCGAGCATCGGCACATCGCTTCCCGCGTCGTCTGGAGTAGGCGCTGTTGTCCGTGATTGACAACCGACATTGTATTAAAGAGCCGAGTTCATTCATTCTGTGTATGCTTGGTATTAAAGAGCCGAGTTCATTCTGTGTATGCTTGGTGAGAAAAAGACAGTGTTCCTCACTCATCCTTTCTATTTTCAAAAACATTTTTTAATCCACCCTTACATTTGCGCGATGTCAACAATGTCAACAATGAAAATTTCTTACCCGTAGATGGTTGACAATTTTCTTGTCAATTTCAAAACTGATCTTTTTACACTTGGTGCCCTGTAAATGTAAAAATATTAAAAATCAACACTCAAATGTAAAAAAAAGATATAACGGGACAATTTGCGGAATACTAAAAGACAGTGCTTAAGGGCTAACCTTTCGGTACCCGAGGTGGGCCCAAAAAATAAATGTTCGCTGAACAATGGACATTGAAAATGGATTCATGTACATCAATAATTTTGAGTTAATTATACATTCAACATTACTTAATCCTTCATTCTGAGTTGGAAGTTGATAATTATGATTGTTCATTACCGTCAAGCCATTGTTCTGACGATGTCACACCAACAATATGTTTGACATCATTGTCAAAAGTGACGACAACATTTCAATTAATACAAGCAAACCACTGACGATAGGATCTCAGTGGCACAACAGGCGATTAATAATGGCATCAAATGAGCTCTCTACTTGGTCAGTAGCAATATATACCACTCACGTCGTCAGAAAATCCCTGTAGAAATGTGATGTGTTTCCGAGAGGGGCGGGAGAAGGAGAGATCAGCCTCAAGAGGCGGAAGCACCGTGCTTCGATGTCGGCCATTCTCTGCCAACTGTAAACAATATAAACAATGTAAACAATGAGTGAATGAGTGAGTGAGTGGGTTTGGGTGGTTGGGTTTCTTTGTTTAACTTCGCACTCAGCAATATTCCAGCTAAATAATGGAATCTGGACCAGACAATCAACCCATGCAATTGGGACACGATGACATACATCAACCAAGTCAACGAGCCTGACCACCCGATCCCGTTAGTTAGGATGGGTTGCTGAAGAGTTCTAACCAGGACATGTACGGATGAAATGGTTGGGTGAGTGAATGAGATGGCTTGAACGATGCTTTCAACAATATATCAGTGTTTTGTTGTATGATAAACAACTCTCACTCGTCGTTTATTTCTTAAATAGGAATTACATATATAGGTATAATGATATTCATCTCCTATCCTCAGATTACAAAGATGATATGAATGTTAAATCAATGCCCAAACATCTCCAAGCGTTAACTTTCCATCTTCACAAACCCTCATCAACCAGTAAGGCTATGTATATCACGACGTGTCAGATTTCCCAGACTCCATCCATCAACAACCCCCATCCCCACCCCAACTGCACACACACACACACACACACACACACACACACACACACACACACACACACACACTCACTCACTCACTCACTCACTCACTCACTCACTTACTCACACTCACAGACACACTCATATACACACTGACTCATTCACACTCACGTACGCACACACACACACACACACACACTTTCACACTCACACACATATACACTCATACCCACATACTCACACACCAAGTCACACGCACGGGCGCACACACTCTCGCACACACATACACACACTCACTCTAACACATACACACACATACTCCACACACGTTCACACACCCCTCATATACACACACATTCACATTCTCTCACAAACACACCACTCACTCACACACACACACACTCACATACACACACATACTCACACGCACGCACACACACGCACACACAGTCACACACACAGACATACCCACAATCACACCCACACATAAACACACATACTCACACAAGCACACACGTACACACATACACACACACTGAATGTTTCTGAGTGTGTGAAGTGAGCCAATTTTTCATGATTAAATCTTGAATTAAACCATAAATATCCAAACTAACCTGATGTCTCGCTCTCAATCGTTTTCTATACATTCTTAGGCTTTCAGTGATCACGTTGTTCATTAATGTCCGTTTGCACCAGCTCACATGAAGTGTATGATAAAAGACACTTCTTTCGTATACCTGGGACTAATGCGGAAAAAAACACCGTCGTTATGTAGACGTGTGAGCTCGTGGCCATTCAACTCATTAACCCTCTCGACGCCAGATCAAAGAAAACGTCAGACACTATAATAAGTAGCACTTAACATTTCAGCTGCGGTGAATAACAAACTCTATCACAGAGAAGTGTCGTGTTAAACACCCCAAACACACGCACACCAAACATTGGGTTTAAGTCGACATGATACTTCTGACATAAAAAGAGTTAAACGGCGCATAAAATTAAACGTATGTAGAAGCTACGGCAATACAATAGCAGTAAGGCAATACAAGTTCGAATCCAATATCTACCATTGAGGGGCAACAATAGACGTGAAGAATATAATCACCATTTTCACGCGATCTCATACTTCCCTTGTCAATTAACACCATGGCTAGTACCGTTAGAGTCGAGGGGACGTGACACACAATGAATCTGATGGCAGTGTTTCTCTCCCTCTCTCTGACAGTATCGAGCGTGGTTTTATTGTTACCGTGATTAAGGGTCCCTTTGGGAGTAATCTCAGCCACAGTGTCACGCGCATTCTTAGATGAAAATAGTTCTGCTAACAGCAGTCTAAGATATTGTTGTGTGCGACGTTAAACAACAAACAAATAAACACAAATATGCTAAATTACTTGAAGTATTGAAATTCCAGTATTTGCAAAACGCTGTCTCTTTTAATAACTTTGACATTTATGTAATTTCACGATATGACATTGTTGTGTCATGGCGTCATATCTGGAGATTCGAACATGCGTATATTGGACGACGTTATTTTTGAGAGGGGAGTGTCTAGTGAGTTGTTCCCCATAGATGTAGCTGGCTTTTTAAAAATATATTTTTATTTCTGGGACTAGATATAGACTTACGTATAAAGGATATAACCACCCCCAATAGGTCTTCCAAATCAGTTATATACCCGCAGTTACCTTTTCGCCTTATCAGTAACATTTGACCGTTTCTCGCACAGACGCCGCGACAAAAATACCCGAAAAATCCTTTCTTCAGTTCTTAAAAGTATGAGATTATCTGGGCTCCTTTTTATTATAGTAAACTATAGTTATAACGAACTCAAAGGGCGACTAATTTTATTTCGTAATAACCGTAGTTCGTTATAAGCATATATACAACAAATGGCCGGGACTAAAAAATAAGTTCGTTATATCGGTAAGTTCGTTATAAGCGTGTTCGTTATAAACGTAGTTTACTGTATATATTAAAAGACAAGTTATCAAAACAAACAGTGGTATTTCAGAGACTGAATATTTCGCCATAACCGATTATTCGCTACACCCGTTGTCATAGTCATCAGTTATATCAGTCCCGAACATTCGACACAGAGAAATACATGAGCTCGTCCAGAAGTCTGGTGTTGTAGGTGCAATGTCTTGTTTGTGAGGAGAGGGGACTTGTCGTTTGTCAAGCCCTGGAATAAGTGAGTTGGATTAAACGCCGCTTTAAAGAGTATTTCAATTATATTGTGTTGTTTCAGCTTTATGTGGGAGGAAAACTGTTAATGTTTCACTTTGGTACCTGATGGGAGAGTGAGTGAGTTGGAACAGTATTCCAGTTATATCACGGCGTCTCAGCTTAATGTGGGAGGAAAGCCCGAAGTGATGGGTACCCTAATGAACCCCTCAAGCACGGACATGCCGCAACAAAAGGATCACAATGAGAAACCACGATCAGCGTACCCTGGTACATCTAAGGGAGACAACTTGCACTTCAATTCGCGGCACCGTAGTCCACTGAATGCCCCTGCCACAAGTATGTGATTACGAACTATACTGTGTGCTTGTCATACAAACATACTGCTAACATACAAATAGGGAAAGTTTATATCGATGCTTTATATCAACTTTCAACAGTGATTAACATATCAATATTGGCCTGATATTGAGAGGCAAGTTTTTGTTGTATTGTTGAAACGTGTTTACACAGCAACGACGTGTTACATACCCATAGCGTTACGAACAACGAGTAATAGATCTGCATTCGATATGATTGGACATACATACCGATAACGCGTTATCTATTGATGTGTATAATCCGTTAGAGGTTATTATATTGTCATAATAAATTTAAGACCTCTTCTGAAGGAGAGTTACGATGGCGCATCAAGCGACTGGGCACCGTCTCTACTTAGTTTTTCGTAAAGAACATTCCGACCTGTGCTAAGGTGGTGTAAGTGTGTCGACCCGGTCACGGGTTGTCAAGTGTCTCGGGTAGCTATGGGGTTATATTATGCACCCGGGATTACCGTTAGCTGTTATCTCTAAGACACAGACAAACTTATCAATTATCATAATGCTGACAGATTAAGTGTTGATGATATGCGAGTAGATTTCAAAGGAACAAATCGTACACTTGTAAAACCTTTTTAGTTGTATATGAGGTGAGGTGAAATGGGGTTTATCGTGGCGTTCAAGATCATTGCACGTATTTAGCGACGTGCATGCACGTGTGTGTGTTTGTATGGCTGCTTGTACCAGTCCGGACTAATGCCGATTTTAGAGTGATAGCTCACTGAGATACCATGCCGCAGTTTAACATGAATACCCCACTCAGACACAGGCTACTGACTCCGAGCCGACCAGTCCTTGTTTTAGCCCTTTAATGCCGAGCGCCATGCAGGGTAACAACAAGCACCATCTGTTAACGTCCTTTGGTATGACACGGCAGGGGATCGAACCCCGGACTTTCCGCTCTTCGGACAGGCGCTCTATATTCGTCTATACATGTTGTATATTAACTTAAGGGGGTGATTTATGACTTTTTAAGTTTTTAATAAAAAAGTGTCTCGCCGATTCCATACTAACTGTTATCAAAAATGACAAAATTCAAATTTATGAGGGAAACAGAATGTGTTCGTTAATACGTCAACACATACAATGATTTCTCTGACACCTCCTGTTTTCCAGTATTTTGTCAGGACATTCAGAAGGATCCAGTTTTTTGTATAACCTGCGTCAAATTTTCCAGTATTCTTTTAAACAATTTGTTTTTTTAAATTGCCTGTCCCTTAGCAAATATGTTCCGATGTTCTGATAAAGAGAGTGAGTGAGTTGGGTTTAACTCCGCATTGAACAGTATTCCCGTGTCAACTATATGTGGGAGGATATCCCGAAGTGATGCAGGTCTTAGACGTTTACCACGCAAATTGAATCTTGTGAAACCCATGATCAGGCCCTTGAACCCAGGACCGCGATCAGCGGATCCTGGCATGACTACGGTACGCAACTCTGCACAGCGAACTCGACGAGTGGGCCATCCGAGGCACCGGCACGTTTGTGACGCAAAGCACTTTTACAGAGCTGCAATGTTTAATTGCAATCATTGAAATTAAACAATATATATAAAAAGAACGGGCCAAAATTGTACATGTGAAGTACAAGAACATTTAGGCAAAAAAACTTTTTCGTCAGAGGAAAAATGTACTGCTTTCACTAAAACAACATGGTGAATACGCCCGTGTTTTTGGGAATCATCGTTCAACGAGTGGTCGACCACTGACAATAAACAAAAAACGCCGCTCCCGTCGTGTTAAATTGACCCGCCACAAACAGGTATACTGATTGTCGACCCACAGATAGACGAGAATGCTTCTCCAATACCCTTGTCTCGCAGCAGCATTGAAGCGCTACAATGGACACTCGGGACGAAAGAAATAGACACATTCTCCCAACTGTCAGTTAAGCCACTAGCGGGAACGATATGACACATACACAGATGATATATACAATATCGCCTGGTGATATACTGCTCCGCATTCAACATGCTCTGTCCAAACAACAATGCAGTCTATCAAACCACTAGTTCGATCTTGTCTGTAAGAGAACACCTGCAGGTGATTTCACTAGCTACCGCCATCTTGCAATACCGTCGGTAACGACATAATGCAGTGCGGGGCAATTGACACACACCTATGGAATACTGTGAGGGACATTATCGCAATCTCGCAATTGACTCACAAGAGATAGTTTTTCTTGAATTCTGTTACGACCTTTTCACAATATTGCATATGTGAGCATTTAACATATATAGGGAATACTAACGGAGTGTTTCGTGTCGTAGTTATCATGTATAAGGGATACATATATTTATTCCTAATACATGGTATTTACTTACGGGAACACACACGGGTAATACACGTTATTATGAAATGTCATTCTTCACAGAATCAAAGTGAAAGACGTATTTTCACTCAATACGTTGTAAACCGCGTATAAAGATTATGTCACTGTTTGTAAACCTCTCCATAAATTATATATATATCAAATCAGCTGCAGTCATTATTTAAATAAGGTTTTATTGTTTTCGTTTAACGCAACACTCAGCAATATTCCAGATATTTTGCAGCGGTCTGTAAATAATCGGATCTGGACAATCCAGTGATTGACATCATGAGCATCAATCTACGTGAGTGGAATACGATGACATGGATCAACCAAGGCAGCGAGCCTGGCCACCCGATCCCGTTAGTCGCCTCTGAAGGACAACCATAGGTTGCTAAAGAGTAATTCTAACCCGGATCTTCACAGGTTTGTTTTTTTATTAAAGAATATGTACACGTCAGAAAAGTCCCAGCAATATTTATTGAGAACGTTAGGCAATAGTTTATTCAGCAAATGTGCATCGCATGATACTATCAATGTTTGGAGCTTATTTACAGTAGTTTCTGTAAGGTACCCCATTTGCAATAGGTATTGGCACGTGGTACCGACTTCTACAATGAAGCAAATGTTTACGGTCAGCTAATACTAGTAATCTAAATTGAGAGAGTGAGTGAGTATGGTTTTACGCCGCTTTGAGCAATATTCCAGCAATATCACGGCGGGGGACATCAGAAATGGGCTTCACACATTGTTCCCATGTCGGGAATCGAACCCGGATCTTCGGCGTGACGTGCGAACACTTTAACCACTAGGCTACTCGACCGCCCGACTGTACGGAGATGAAGAAGTTGGATATAGCAGTAACGAACCAAATTTAACCCCTGAGATTGGTATACACAATTTGTCATATTTCATGTAAAAAGGGATCTCGGATCTTCAACTGATTTTCAATGCCCAAAGAAGTTCTTTACATCATGAGATGGCATCTTCCCGAGGCAAGAGAGTTAACTGACTTTAAAAGTCCAGTTTCCAAACTTGCCGAACTAGGCTGGAATTACTGGGCTCGCGTCGTAGCGCCACCAGTGGCTATTACCAGTTATGTCCCTTCTAAGCCTCTCCTATGGACCGATGAGATTCAATCACTTGCGTTTGCTTCATACAAAATGGTGGCGCCCTGTCAGGACGATCTGATCGATAATCAAGGTCAAGATTGTGATAAAACGGGTCTTACATCGCGAAATGCATCAAATCACGTAAGCACCTTGATTAAAAACATGAAAAGATTCGGAAAATATCTATTGACAACGAGTTGGCGGTGCACATGCTTTGCAAATCCTGCAATCGATCGAAATCTGCACGACAGTTTACGAACCGGATTTCGATTTCGGTGCGCGATTTTGATTTGACTATGCACAGACTCGTTAGTCCAGCCAAAATGTAACTCCATAATACCAGCCTAGTTCGGCAAGGGTGGAAACTGCACTTTTATAGTCAGTTAACTCTCTTGCCTCGGGAAGATGTGAGATGGCGGTAATTTACAATTGAAATTTGAAGTTGCGATGCCCCATGACACTACAGGAAGTCAGATGATGTGGTTGTCTGTGTTGGTGATAAATCACTCACGATACCAGTGGGCGAGTCCATCCGTAGATTATGAAAAACATCCTGGTTCATGGAAACGAACGATGATTCATTTCCCGCCCAGTCGTCTAAGGCGTAGCGATTCTAACCCGGATTGTAGCCACGTATGGTGATCAGAAGCAGTCAACAGTGTGAACTTTATTACAAATATACAGGAGATGAAATAAAACGCACATACATCGTCTAAGGCGCCGCAATTCGCTGTGCAGAGTTGCGTCCCTTGGGCACGCCAGAAACCTATGATTGTGGGTTCGAATCTCGGTTCACTCCGATTACATTTCTAGGTTTGTCAGCACCATACCCGGGCTCGTGGGTTTCACCGAAGTGATAAACGTCTGGGACCTGCATCACTTCGGGCTTTCCTCCCACATTAAGCTGACACGCCGCGATATAACTGGAATACTGTTAAAAGCGGCGTTAAACTCAACTCACTCACTCAGTAAAACCCCTCCGAATTACCTTGATTACTTGATAAATCCACCCCGTATCCATCGAAGCTTACACATCGAAGTGCGTGTCCAAAGACATTTTTAGCATATATAAAATAGAAATATAGTATAGTAGGTATACATCCCCAAAATGAAACAAACAACAAGTCGTTATTCAATTGTTTTGTAGTGATATGGATATCATAGTTGTGCTGCGGATCTAAGTTTGCCGTGTTTCGGCGTCTGCTTTCAGCCTAGGAACGTTTTGATAACCAACAACCGTTTTGATGTCAAATCCAATTTTCAAGTGTATACTCTCTATATGTAATTATGTATAGCCCTGTCACATTCTTTACTGATTTATTCATCAACCATGATGAACAATATGAGGAGAACAATCTTTGAGTTCATTATTCGTAGCTCAATGTTCAAAGGAATTTTTCTTTCTTATAGTGGGTGAGTGAGTATGGTTTTACGCCGCTTTTAGCAATATTCCAGCAATATCACGGCGGGGGACACCAGAAATGTTTCTTTCTTATGACTGAGGTAAATTGATAAACTACTCGTCTAATGAACTAAAACCAAAATAATTTGTATTGCAAAGAGACAGCAACGCAGTAACTAGTAACGTTTTTAATTCAGTTACCTATACTACAAATAGCTAAATACACAGTCATGTAACCAACTTTCAAATACATCAACATCGAATACCAATTTCTTGTTTGCTTCAGTTTTGCCCCCATCAAACATAGGTTTCTAGCGACTTTTGCCCAGCAGTTGTTAAATCTTAAAAATTACTGTTGTAATTTAAATTTTCATACACCTAATTTTAAATACGAAATCTCACCTCCAGAATACGTTTAATTTTCTTGTTGGGTTTCGGTAGAATAAGAACTCCCGCGGGTCTTTCCTTTCTTGCACGTGTAGGGCGTGCGCGTTTCCTAACACCTGCACCTGTTAACAACGTCTGTGTCTGACGTTGTATCGGGGGCAGGTGCACGTGCATCACAGAAGAAGGCATTCTGGGACGTCAAAATACAACGGTTCTGTTTGATCAATGTTCTCTGTTTTAGTATCCAACATTCGCAACAACGTATTTACCGCTGCCACCATTGACTATCCTTTTCAAATCGACTGTCTGAGTGGCTCGGCGTGATCAAGTTTATAAAGTTACCCTCCAATCAATCAGTAGTCTTTTCTTCTTCAACTTTGCCCGGTGCAAACTTTGCCTATTACTGTGCTTATGTGAGGATTACATTCATTGATGTCTTTGTTAGGTTTGAATATTATTGAAAAGTATCCACGAATAGAAATATTAATCCATGCTTGAAACACGCATTGATAGTTTTTCCCCTTGGTTTTGGCTGAGATACAAGCAACCCGTTCTGGAAATGAGTGTCACATAGTTCCTTTCAGCCAAGTCTCCAAGGAATATACACACTAATCCTCTCAGGTCTATATAACCTTTGCATGTCTTGAGCTTTCTAAACGCGGCATAGAGCATTCAAAATCAACATGTATTCCGATTGATAGAGACGCCGTAGTCTATGCTGGAGAATATATTGAATTGCTTCCATGGACTCGATTACTTCAGTAGAAAGATAGCCAGTTTAGAAACCAACTGACCTCCAGTAAATGTAATCCGCCTTCTGGAGTTTGACAAACGATTTCACGTATGCCACTTAGACCAATCCAGAGAGCACCATTTACAAACACAAACACTATCCTTACAACTTCTTATCGCATACTTTCATAATGTGGGACACGCTTGTTAGGAAACATCAAAACGGCATTCATATACCGTATGTATTAATGTACACATGATAAACTAATAAACGTTCCTCCAACGATTTCACCGATGTCAAAGGGCAATCCTCAAGTCCTTCAAAACGTCACGAGTTCTTTGAATTGAATTCGTAACTATGATCAGTGTGTCCTGTAAGGTATTCTAACAACCATTATGGAAGTAATGTCCTTAGCGACTGACGAGACTTTCCTTCTGTACTAGGCATACAAAACAACAATACCAAATTGTGTGCGAGCAGTCCTTGCCGAAAGCCAACTCACGTTCAGTGGGCACGTTAATACTGGACTAAACTCCCAGTTGAAAGTCATGAAGCTTAAAGGGTGGATTTTGCACATAGCAGAAACATGCATGCATACGAGAAAAGGTGTGGAATATCTTATCGATGCATAACACAGTGCCGGTTCTAGTGCCGATGGCCTCTGCTTGATAGGTCTGCTAACAATGTGAGAAAGTTGTTTTTTAATGGATCGAACAATGGATAAATGAGCAATGTTTGACTCAGTACTTACTGAAAACCCGAGGGCTGCCTTTGAAATGGACATTTGATACTTTGACACGAAAAGTGTGTTAGATAGTAGGCATACAGTAAAACGATAGGGGGTAGAGACTCTCCTTGTTTAACTACAGTTTGCCTTTTCAAGAGCTCGTCATAAATTACTCTCACTCACGACAACAACGACGAGTAGGCGGACAACTGGTAATGGATTTGACCCATATTTTATGAAAGATAAATAATACATGCTTAAACGTTTCTATGATAGAGGAAAAGACTCACTGCTCCCGTGCACCTGATCCCGCAGGCGATCTGAGCGGGAGATATCGAGAATGTATACCGTATTTCGCCAGACGAATTTGTGTCTGTGTTGTATCAATTGGAGTGATAAAGAATAGCTTTGAGCATCAATATACAATCTTTCACCAATTCAACAGTTTCGATGCCAATATATAGTAATGGTAGTTCTCACGTCAATTACTATTGTACTTCTACCTCCAATATTGCTTCTACTATAGTACTACTAATAATGGAGACGCAAATTTCACTAAATGATAAACATATACGTATTTATTTTATTGAGCTCACACGTGGTGATGCAACTGAAATCAAAATGCACAAAGCGGGTACAGTCCCAAGTCACTCAACCCCGTCCGTTAAATATAGCTGTAGGTGGATTTAATGTCAACGGATGTAGCGTCAGCGAGATGTAACTTTCTCTGAATTCCTTCGAACAAGATGTTTGTTCACTGTCCACGTCATTTCATTGAAAGAGACCACTAAATAATCAGTCTTTGGTAATCGCACATGTGAAAACCATACATATATATATACATTAAACCTACTATTTATTGTCATGCACTCTTTCCACGTCTCAAGGGAGCGGGGAGCTGTGCAGAGCTGCGTCCCTTGCGCACGCCAGAAACCTATGATTGTTGGGTTCGAATCCCTGTTGGGGGCACGGGTGGCCCAGTCGTCTAAGGCGCCGCGATTCGCTGTGCAGAGTTGCGTCCCTTGGGCACGCCAGAAACCTATGATTGTGGGTTCGAATCCCGGTTCGCCCCGATTATGTTTCTAGGTTTGTCAGCACCATTCCCGTGCTCATGGGTTTCACCGAAGTGGTAAACGTCTGAGACATACATCACTTCGGGCTTTCCTCACACATTAAGCTGACACGCCGTGATATAACTGGAAGACTGCTTAAAGCGGCGTAAATCAACTCACTCACTCACCTTATGAGAGCGGGTCACGATTTTCAGTATGTAATCTGGCACTTGACGTGTCACCTGTCAACGCTACAAATCACACGACACTAGGATTGCGCGAGGCTGTCTATCTCTTGTCTCAGAAACAACTCAAACTGTTTGAACAAATCTTGAAATTTGACATATCTCGCAGTGCAACAACATAAACCTTATTTTGAACATTATCTGATAAGGACTGCGATTGTTCTATAAATATGAAGCAGTAGCTGTCGCACTTGAGGAGTCGGTTATACGTTTATTGCCAAAGTTGTAGATTATAGCTGATATAGTAACATGCTTGACACATCAACTCAACGAGAACTTAAGAAATTTATAGTGTTGTGACGACGTCACACACATTGGAGAAAACAAGGTACATTTATTCTTCAACCCGTGAAGACCCGGCGTAGCATAGATTGTTCAGCAACCCATGTTTGCCGTAAAATCCGACTATGCTTGTAGTAAGAGGCGACTAACAGGATCGGGTGGTCAGGCTCGCTGATTTGGTTGATGCATGTCATCGTATCATGATGGAGTGGATCGATGCTCATGATATCAATTACTGGATTGTCTGGTCCAGACTCGATTATTTACAGACCGCTGTCATATAGCTGGAATATTGCTGAGTGCGACGTTAAACAACAAACAAACAAATAAACAAGCAACATTTGTTCTTGTCTCGTCAAATTTGGTTATGGCGAAGTTATGTCTAGCTGGAAGCTGACCCAGTCGACCACCCTGTGAGAATTCCGGGTAAGAATAGGTGCCAGGTACGTCTTATGAGTTGACTGAAGGGGATCGGATGGTCAAGCTTGTGACGTGGCTGATTGCATGTCATCGCGCCTCGATAGCTCAGATCGTTGCGCGTGCTTTCTGTCACTAGTTTGTCTGGCCGAGACTCGATTATTTACATGCCATCCACTCACTCACTCACTCACTCACTCACTCACTCACTCACTCACCCACCCACCCAACCACTCACTCACTCACTCACTCACCCATCCACCCACCCACCCACCCACTCACTCACTAACTCACTCACCTACACTCACTCACTCACTCACTCACTCACTCACCCACTCACTCACTAACTCACTCACCTACACTCACTCACTCACTCACTCACTCACCCACCCACCCAACCACTCACTCACCCACCCACCCAACCACTCACTCACTCACTCACCCACCCACCCAACCACCCACTCACTCACTCACTCACCCACCCACCCACCCACCCACTCACTCACTAACTCACTCACCTACACTCACTCACTCACTCACTCACTCACCCACTCACTCACCCACCCACTCACCCACCCACTCACTCACTCACTCACTCACTCACTCACTCACTCACTCACTCACCCACCCACCCACCCACCCACCCACTCACTCACTCACTCACTCACTCACTCACTCACTCACTCACACCGGTTTGTTTTGCATGCCATCTTGATATAGCAGGAAATTTAGCTGACTACGGCGTTAAACAACCCTCACTCACTCACTCACTCACTCACTCACTCACTCACCCACCCACCCACCCACCCACTCACTCACTAACTCACTCACCTACACTCACTCACTCACTCACTCACTCACTCACTCACTCACTCACTCACCCACCCACCCACCCACTCACTCACTCACTCACTCACTCACTCACTCACTCACTCACTCACTCACTCACCCACCCACCCACTCACCCACCCACTCACTCACTCACTCACCCACCCACCCACCCACTCACTCACTCACTCACTCACTCACACCGGTTTGTTTTGCCCGCACAAAATATTTCTCATTAATTTGTTTTATTTATGTGGTTGTCAGCGAGCCTGACCACCCGATCCCGTTAGTCGCCTCTTAGTTAGTCGACAAGCATGGGTTATCAGTTCCAACCCGGATTCTTCACTGGTTTCACGATGCATGTTGTTATTTATTTCTACAAAATTAGGGGCAATGTGTCTCACCTTCTCCTTAATATGGTTCACTGTAAGTAGGTAGTACGTCTACATATACAGCGCTGTACAAATATATACAATAGTGATTTATATGTCCGGAATCCCACACATACAGCGAGGTAGGTGTATAATGACACCGTTATGGGGAGTGTCAGTCGTGTAAAGGATCAGTGCCAGCTCCTAATCCCCTTGTCACTGATCTAGTGGTAAATAGGATATATATTGTGGGTCCGCGCGTGTCACCACAAATCGTATTCAATAAGATACATTAAGTGGCGACCCGTGAAGATTCCGGGGGACAAAAGGTCTTCAGCAACCCATGCTTGCCGTAAAAGGTGACTATGCTTGTCGTAAAAGGCGACTAATGGGATCGGATGGTCAGGCTCGCTGACTTGGTTGATGCATGTCATCAATCCCAATTGCGTTGATTGATGCTCATGATGTTAATCACTGGATTGTCTGGTCCAGACTCGATTATTTACAGACCGCCGTCATATAGCTGTAATATTGTTGAGTGCGGCGTTAAACAACAAACCAACCATCCATTAAGTGGCATCCTCTATATGTAAGGGTCACTTTTGTTTTGACTAACGGGGTATTAGCAACTCTTTATTCATGTCATAGGAAACTCCCCTACAACTGGAGAAACAGACCCCGAGTTGGTTGTTGGGTGGAGAACTGACACCATATCATTCATGATCGATATTTTCTTTCAAAGTTATCAAATAAAAAATTAATCAAATTATCAAAACACTGTAGAGCTATAAAGAAAACAAGTTATGATAGATGACAATACAAATATTTGATAACACATCATCGATTTCCATTCTAAAATTAGGTATAACTGTCTGTGTTAATCCTTTCAAATAATATCAATAAGATTAAATGTCTGTATATTTGACGCCAGTGATAGAGGACTGTAAATGCACAGATTCTTTTGGAGATATATATATATACGCCTTATATATGTCCACAAGTTCTTATCAGGGCTTATCCAGATACATTCTACCAACCTGAGCTTATCCACTCCCAAGTGTGCTTATCGATTCCAAATCGCTATATGCGGATATATGTAAATGTATATATGTGTATATACTTTGTCTGGTCTTATGTAAATCAAACACTCTTCGGGTCATCAAGGACCTTGTGATTGTCTAGCATAGTAGTAGCAGAAGTAGAAGTAGAAGTAGTAGTAGTAGTAGTAGTAGCATAGTAGTAGTAGTAGTAGTAGTAGAAGAAGAAGTAGTATCAGCATAAGTGGTAATAGCAATTGTTAGTTCCGCTGCAGTAGAAGTAGAAAAATTAGTAGTAGCAACAGTAGTTGTAGTAGTAGCTATTGTAGTAGTCTTAGTAGTAAAAATAGTAGTAATTGTGGTAGTAGTAGTAGTCATAGTAGTAGTAGTGGTAGTAGTAGTAGTAGAAGGAGCAAGGTAGTTGTAGAGTAGTAGT